TTTTTGGAAAATTATCCATCTGAGGATGAGTCCATGGAACTTGTGGATCCAATTTATCAGGATCATGAAACAATTAGGATTCAATTTTCTTTTTTATCTTGCATTTCTTTCCTTTGTTTTGTTTTGTTTTTTTTTTTTTGGTTTTTGTTTTGTTTTGTTTTTGTTTGTTTTTTTTTGGTTTTGTTTTGGGTATTGCTAACCCATTGCAGGAAAAGCAAGCATGATTCATCATTTAAGATAAACCCCTTCCTGTTTCGTTTTTTTTTTTTTTTACATTGAGGACAATGCGTCGTTTAGGTTGGGGGGGAGGGATTAATTATCAGTTTGTGTTGATTGGAATAAGTTAGTAAAAAATGGTTGAAAGCACTAAAAGTGGTGCTCTAATAGCACCACTAATGATGTGGCAGTGGGTGAGGTCCACTGTCTATGCCTTCTTGTTGTTGTTGGTTTTTTTTTTTTTGGCATTCCCAATGCATTAGTGCTATTAGTGGTCCTTTTTTTTTTTTTGTGGTATGAATCATTGTTGTAAGTTAGTAAACCCCAAAAAAAAAAATCAAAGTTATCTCTTATATGTGCATTAAAGTGGTTGAGCTTAGTTGTGATATTTCTGTTGTCTTAGCTTGAGAATTGTGTTGAAATTTATTATTCTATCCTCATTGACAAAGTATCTCATGTGTTCATATTTAGAACTTTTGCACTGCACTTTAGCCACATGATTACAATATTTAGTTGATACGTGGATGTGACTTAAAAATCTTGAAGAATGATATTGGAGACTTTTAACCGTATGAGTTTCGAGCCATTCTTTTCTTTGGAGGGTTATTATACATTTACTCTTGATTTTTCTTTAGAAGCGCATTAAGTTGTTGTGTAGTCTCATTATTCTTTGTCTTGGTTAAATGCTGAGAATACATTTATTTGTTATCACACTATTATTTCCTTGAGATCATGAAAATTGAAGGACCATACCGATTTTTAAGATATGATTTTAGTCCATCTTTGTTTCTTTGAGTTTTATATTTTTCTTTGTTACATTAATCCCTTGAAGCCCATTTGAGCCTATATTTAGCCATTCTTTGTTAAACCCCACATCCAACTTGTCTTGATTTGTCTTGAAATTTGTTGTTTGGGAGGTAAAAGGAGTGTGCTTACTAAAAAGCACAAAAGATGAATTTTTGAAAGGGTCTAGAAAAGTGAACTATCTGCAATAATCTCCTAAATTGTGTTATATTTATCTTCATTACTCTCAAGACCTCAACCTTTACTCTCTTTTGGATTTTTCCACCTTTACCCTTACATTATAACCAAATAAAAGTCTTATTTGATCTTAGGAATGGTATGGTTTGGATATGGACATGATGGATAGTTAATAATGTGTGAATGTTAATTCTCAGTATTTGACATTCCTTCCATGCGACTATTTATTTATTCTTTCTTATGAGCATTTTTCAACCAAGTTAATATGTGAGAAATTTTGCTTTTGGTTTACATTATTCTGCTTGCATATATTTAGAGTGATATTTACACTACGTTTTGAGTGATTCAATTGTTGAGTGTAAAACCGGTGAGATTTGAGTCAAAGCATATTTCAGATAGACAATTGAGTTACATTTTACCTTGAGGTTAAGAATGTGTTTATGTTGGCTAAGATTATTCGCACACTTTGAATTTTGGATACGTTGGGTTATCTTTACTTGTTGCTAGTATTTTAAATTTTGATTGATTCTTTTGTTAGTATAATGAAATTCATCACTATTGTTCTCGAACTTTGTGCATATAAATAAGGGAGACTTTGAGGTTAAATTTTTGGATGTTTGTGGGTATCATCTTTGGAAACCCTCATGAGACTATAACTCGTCCACTAAGGGTAACTTAGGGGTTTAAAGGCTTATTGCATATGCAAATGCAATCGCGTTGTCCTACGAAAATGGTTTACATATTTTTGTTAAGAACTATATTTTTGTAGACGCCTTAGTTGCTAGGGACTAGCAATTAGCTAGTTGAGGGGTGCGATGAATAGTTAAAAATGTATAATTATTTTATTATTTTTAATCATTAATACACTTTTATTAATTTAATTCCCCCACTTTATTTTTAATTGTGAGTTTAATGATTTAATTTTAATTTTTACAGGATAATTTGCAATTAGGATAAAAGTTGGGGCTAGATGGAAATTAGAGAAAAAAAATGGAAATTGAAATCAAACTCTTGCCATAGAGAGCCGCCACATCACATAGCCAATGAACAATGTGGATGAAGAGACTTAAATGATTGAATGGTGCATGCAAAAATCATATTGGCTGGATGATACTAGAATCTATCCAAATTTACCACCCCAGTGACATCTATAAATTAGAGGTGAGCAGCAGATATATTGATCTTTCCAAATTGATTGAACAAAACTGATCTGCCGCATTTTGGATGGATGCGTGATGACAAACGGACGGTTACGGATTGATTTTTTTCAATCCGTCTAGTTTTGGACGGATGTCAGATTTAAGGTTCCTTTGGCCGCAACCGAATCGCCAAACGTTGAGCACCCCTAGTAATTTGTAAGATTTTGCGTTTTCAATTTATTTAGATATTTTGTTTGTATTTTCAATTAAAAAGAGTTTAAATATTCTTTTGAATATATTCTGTTGAAAAAGAATTTTCAACTTGAATATATTTTTTGAATTGAAAAAAAAAATTATTTATCTATATTTTTTGATTTTTAAATCTAACTCTAAAAATAATAAATAAATAAGATGATATATGTTGGTTGATTTTTGTTTTAAAAAACAGATATAGATGTAACAATACAGAAGCATACAATCTCTACTACTGTTCTATTCATAGTTTTGGTGGTTTGAATTGTTTTTATATTTTAAGAACCACAGATTGTAATACTTTATGTGGATGAGGCATGCTATGATTCTAGTATGTGGATGAGGTAAACAGTGATTGTAATATTTTAAAGTTTCAAACTTTCTTTCTTTGGATGAGGCATGCAGTGATTGTAATGCTTTTTTTTTAATTTATTTATTTTGAGGAAGTGCACAAGTTGAATTATATTGAAAATTTATAAAATTTTAAACCGTCAAACCGATTTGCATCCATCCGCCAATCCGCTCAATCCACATCTGCCGGATTGGCGGACGGATGTAGAGTGATTTTCTCCAATCCACCAATCTGGCAGACGGATGGCGGATTGGAGGTTCTGTGGCCGTAACTAACCCGCGCCCACCCCTATTATAAATACACGACAATCTCATTGAGGCGAAATAATTTTTGGTAAGGGAAAACAGATCATTCAGAGCTTGTTTGGGAAGTATGGGTTTGGTTTTTTTTATGGCTAAAATAGTCACAAAAAAACAAAATAGGATTTTTTGCTCAATAAGACAAAATATCACATCTAACCCATAATCATTACATTTTTTCTCTCACAAAAAGTAAAAAAAGCGAAAAAGCGCTTCTCAAATCAGGTTTTTTAGCCCCAAGCTAAAATAACCAAAAAGCCAACTCACTTCTCAAACGAACCCTCAGAAATATTTCAGAGATTTCACCTTTTAATACATATTATTTTCTTTTTTATTTTTATGATGTTTTAATTTTTTTTTATTAAGGTTAGGGGTGAAATCGTAATATTTTATTTATAGATATTTTATGATTCAATTATTATTATTATTTTTTTTTAATGTTAGATTATTTTAATTGATTAGTTTATTTATTTGGAGAAAGTTTTTATTCTGTATAATATCTTATTCTATCGTAGACTCACGGCACATTAGAAGCTTGATATTCCTTACGAATCAAATAATTAGATTTTTATGGTGTAATCAATCAGTGAAAGTAATTAATTTTTTTGGAATTAATTTTTATATGGAATAATCGTTTTTATCTTCCGATTGAAAATACCTTTTGTGTATGTTTCAATTGCGTTAGATAAATTAAATCTAAAATATTTTAAATAGAGCATTGGTGAGGATCCTTGATGCCTTAGCACCCTTTTTTTATAATCACCTTATTTTATCTTGTAATTAATTATTTTTCTCAAATTATTCTACCATTTCAAAAATTCAAAACCATATTTTTCTTTACTTTATTTGAGTGGTCGGTAATTATTTTGAACAAACTGGTCCTTGTGGATTCGACCTCGGACTCTCCGAGTTATATTATTTCGCTACATCCTGCACTTGGGATTGCAATATAAAAGTCGTAACATTTTACTCTTTTTTTTTAATTAAAAATTATCACTCACTAATAAATTTTTTACTTAACTTATACTTCAATTTGAGTTTTTATTTATTTATATATTTTTTTAAACTCAATTTTACTCCATTCTTTATTTTTGTTATACATAATTACTAAAATAGTTCAATAATTGAGGTATATGTGCAAATAAAAAATATATTAATGTAATTATATATAATAAAGACAAAAAAATAAAAATAATAGTGTATTTAGAGTAAATTGAAGTGAGAATAATACCCCCTTTATTTATTGTAATGTTTTATATCAACTAAAATTTTTATGGATAAATTACACTAACAGCCCTTGAGGTTTGTCTTTAATACAAGCACTCCCTCACATTTTGAAAATTATATTCCCTCCCTAAGGTTTTAATTTTCATTACAATTTAATCCTTCCGTTAATCAACTATTAAGTCAACTAATGAGAAAAATTAATATAAGAAATTAATTTTTTAAAATGCCTATTAAAACCACAAAAACTTATGTACCATAGCAATACCTAAATTTTTAATAGTATAATAATATATGTATTGAATAAATTTTTATAATTCTCTACAATTTTTTTTACTCCTCTAGTATTTTTTTAATTTTTTTTAATAAGAATAAAATATGCATTTAAAAAAATTAATTTATTATATTATTTTTTTTCATTAGTTAACTTAACAGTTGATTAACGATAAAATTGTAATAAAAGTTTAAACATCAAATAGAAGAAGTAATTTTTAAAAGGTGAAAAAATATTTATATTAAAGACAAACTTTAGGATATCAAATGTAATTTGCCCAATTTTTATTTAAAAATAATTTAGGTAAACCTTAGATAGAGGGATTGGTGCTTTGGAGCTATAAATTCATCTTCCTCCCCCTCTCTCACTTTCTGAGATGGAAAAGAAACTTGTCAAGTACTGTGTGGTAATGTCTTCTCTCTCTCTCTCTCTCTCTGTGCAATCATATGCACTTTGTATTTGTATACACAACATTTTGTGTTTTTTGTTGTTGTGAGTGAGTGACTCACCGACTCGAGTTGTTGGATTAGGTCGATGCGTTCACGGACTCGCCGTTCAAGGGAAACCCGGCGGCGATTTGTTTGTTGGAGGAAGAGAGAGACGATGAGTGGTTGCAAGCTGTTGCTACTGAGTTCAACCTTTCTGAAACCTGTTACTTGACTCGGATCACTGACTCCGACTCGGAGACTCAAGACTCGTCCCACTCAACCTCAAACCCTCGGTTCCGCCTCAGATGGTTCACTCCAGTTGCCGAGGTCACTTCACTACCGTTTGGTTACAGAGAAATTGAAATATAACCTCGAATTGTGCAAGTAAAAGAATCCTAAACATGCACTCCGAATTGCGCAATCTTCTAATTTGGCAACTTAAATTACTTACATAATTGACGACTTCGTTTTGGTGTTAGATTTCTTTTAATTTTGATTGATTCATTTGAGATTGTTACTTGCTTTCTTTTCAACTTAATCTGAAGAGTAGTTGGCTCTTCTCCAATCTTTAACTCTCTCTTCTTCTTTTTTCATTAAATTTGTGTGAAAATTTGGTTTAAACCTTGATGATATAGAACACTTCTTCTTCTTCTTTTTTTCCTCACCTCCAAAATTAACCTAAAAATCTGTTTTAACCATTTTTTGGGAAAGACTATGGTGCACAACCCTTCAAGGTGTGCACTTTTTGAGTCATAACTTTAGGAAAAAAAAAAAAAGAAAAAAAGAAAAAAAGGCTATAATAAAAAAACTCTCAAAATAATGTCATAACTAAAGAAAAAAATAAAAAAATTGGTCATATCTAAATAAGAAAATGACACAACTAGGGGTGCAAATGATAAGGGTGTGTATGATAGAATTCTCCTTCTGATAATAGAAGACATCTCCAATCCTTGCTCTTTTTAAGACCTCATCAAATCTGAGAAAAAATATGAATGTTTTGAGAATTTGGTAAAGGATTTGGTGTATCCTGGATTTGGTGAAAAAATTGTCTCGCTCTTGATTTGATATAGGTTTGATGAAATGGTTAGAGCATACTATTAGCTATTTTTTCATCAAATTTGAATTTGATGAATTATTGGAGATGTTCTTGTGTTGTATGGTGATTCATCAGTCTTCCCCAAATGCTGCCTGGATTGATCTTTTACAGTTTAGTCAATTGAGGGTTGTGTTTCAATAGCTAAGTCCATGGTAGGGGGTAATTTAACCTGGACATGAAATTCATGTTGGCTTGCAGGTTCAACTTTGTGGTCATGCAACTTTGGCAGCTGCACACTTTCTGTTCACTTCTGGTTTGGTAAATGCCAACAAAATCGAGTTTCTGACACTGTCAGGAGTTTTGACTGCTAAAAGAGTTCCAGAATCACAAGATTGCTTCTTAATTGAGTTGGATTTTCCGGTAGTTCCACTGGTTGATTTTGACTCTGTTGAGGTTTCATCAGTTTCTAAAGCCTTGAGTGGTGCTTCTGTGATTGACTTAAAGATGACAACTACTGAGAAAGACCTCTTTGTAAGCGTTCCTTTTGCATTCTTTGCTTAATTATTCATAATTATGCAACTTTTTATTTGAAGTAAATGATTGAAAGGTTGTGCAAATTATGCCGGAGGTTGGGTGTGTACTCAATTTATCTCCTCCCTGACCCGTCAAATTGGGACTAAACTAGGTGTAGTTATTATTTAAACGAAAACAGCAATTGTTCCAGTTTAGAGGTGGGAGTGAATTTTTTTCTAAGATATTCTGAATAAATCTGACATATTATTTGGGTGCACCTTCAAACCTTAGTGTCTTCATTGATGTATCTCAAAGAAGGATGTTAACTTGATATTCATTTTGTACTTAAAGGGGGTGAATGTTAATGCATTTGGCAGGTTGTGCTCCCATCGGGAAACGCTGTTGCAGATCTACAGCCCCAATTTGATGAAATACAACGATGTCCTGGACTCGGAGTAATTATTACAGGGCTTGCTCCCCCTGGATCTGGGTTTGACTTTTTTAGTCGCTGCTTCTTTCCAAAATTGGGGATAAAGGAGGTAATATGATTTAAATCAGTTCCTTTCATCTTTCTAGGTGTCTTTTGATTAAGTGAAAACACACTGTTTATAATTTGTAAAAGAGCAAACCAAACAACTGTAAATAAACTAACTAGTCATAATTTGAAATGAAATTGTCAACACAAAAATAATATGGGACTACATTTTTTCGTCACACTGTCCATTGACTTAAAGAGTATTTCAGATTTTTCACTGGGAAGGGCTTTTGGGCTAAAATCTACATAAAGACAAAATAAACTAAAATAGCCAATAAGACAAAATGTCACATCAAACCCATAATTATTTCACTTTTTCTCTTACAAATATCACATCCAACTACAAAAAAAATTCAACTATCTTCCCAAACACAAAAATTTTAGCATACTAAAATAGTTAAAAAGTAAAATAGCCTACTAAAGTAGCAACTTTCCAAACACCCACATAATACTGTAAGAAAAGCTTCATACCTTGATTATTTGGTAAACTTCTCAATCTTTATTTATGGGAAATTTTTTTAGAGATATTTATCATCTAAACAAAAAACATCTGCATGATATATTTTTTTCATAATCCACCTTTGCTGGATGATTAATGGTGATACTCAGAATATAAAGAACTCTCATTCAACAATTTACTACAACTGTAATAGAGTTGATGGATGCTCCCTCATATTTCAGGATCCTGTTACCGGGAGTGCACATTGTGCCCTAGCAGGCTATTGGTCTAAAAAGCTGGGGAAATATGATTTTGTTGCATATCAGGTTCTCTCTCTTTCTCTCTTGCACGTGTGCGTGTGCAGTTGTGCCTCTCGTGTTCCTTCTTCATTCATTAATTGTGTTGTTTACTTGATATAGGCATCCCCTCGAGGTGGCATACTGAACCTCCATTTTGATGAAAAGAGTCAGAGAGTACTACTTCGAGGTAAAGCTGTCACTGTAATGGATGGTTCTCTTTTGGTTTAACTAGGAATTATCCGTCTTTGCTTGTATGAATCAATTGAAATAAAAAGCTGTTATTGTTTGGAAGGTTCGCTTTTTACTCCTTGTACTAGACATGAATGTACGAAATGTATTTCCTTTTGTATCTCTGCTAAGAATTTCACTCAGCTTATAATTCTGTTATGGAAATTCTCTATTTTCCTTGTTACTAATAATATTGCTACAAATATGGATGATTTACATTTTACAGCTTAAAAATGTACAGAGTGGATTATCGAATATAGAACCTGTGCCAAGCCCAACGGCCGGACTGGACATCCAAGTGAGAATTCAGGTTCAAAATGAATCAGAATTATCCCAATTTTTGTTTAGATTGTTTTCTCTGGCAACAAAAGCAAATTAATTGTATTAAGATGATATGTTAAAGGAAAATGTTTGAGGGTCACAATTTTTGTGGCCACAATGGCTTAATAAGATGACCAAGACAAAAGTTATATAAATATACAAATCTTACAAACTCACCCTTTATAAAATGAGTGGTGTTTTAAAAAGATGATAAAAAGTTAGTTTTTTTGACTTTTTTTTTTAAATTTTTTTAAATTTTTTTTTTTTTTTTGTGTGAAAAAATAAAGAGGTGATGTGATTTAAAAAAATTAAAAAATTAAAAAAAATTAAAAAGTCAATCTTTTCAAATTGCTGAGTTTTTAAGTAATTTTATAAATTCAATCTTAATTAAACTAATACTATGATATTTATGCATAAACAAACGTAATTTATTTTATATTTCTAATTTAATACTATAATATTAAAAATCCTATCATTTAATTTCCTTATACTCATCATCTCAATCAACTTGCAATAATTAACAAATACAGACACAAATTTGGACAAATTCAGTGCTGACACTGGGACCTAGACAAAAGTGAGCAATATCACTTTCAGGGCTGGTTTCTTTGCTGTCCGTAATTAGATTGGAGGGTATTGTTATACTTGTGAGAACTTACTACGGATTTTGTTTTGTTAATTCGAACCGTTTAATATATAGAATTTGTCAAGTACTATATGCTTGTAAAAAATTACGTTGATCGGATATCGATACCTATCTCATTGGATTAGATTTTTGTTAATTGTTTATTTTTTTATCGTTTATTTTATTTTTTTATATAAAACTGATTTGATTACATAACTATTGATATCTGATCAACGTGATTTTTTTACAAATATATAATACTCGACGAGTTCTACATATTAACGATTCAGATTATCGAAATGAAATTCATGATAAATTTATAAAGACTTAATAATATTTTTCAATCTCATCACAGACTGAAATGAAGCGAACCCTTCAGATTATACTCACCAAATTGCTTAGTATTTCATTTGATAGGTCACAGATTGATTTGCATACCGAAACGCTTGATGTCAATTGAGGGGACACTATAGTCAATGACAAACACATATATCCAACTTTGGATACAATCACTTAGTATTACTGTATATCACTTCAAAAATCATGTGAGACTCTTTTAATTGATAGGTCGGCAAAGATGTCATTTCAAAAAAAAAAAATAAATAAATATACATACACTCAAGTGATAAAAAATAAAGTAATTTTATTTTTTTTGTATGTTTAGAAATATACTTTTAAATTAGTGATAAATTTTATGAATATTACAAAATAAAATCATAATCTTTTTATGAATATATAATTAATTTTTGAAAACTCCACAGACATTTAAAAAAAAAAAATCATGAAAACAATCCAGATAAAAAATAAAAAGAAAAAGGGCACTAAAATTTGCATAAAGATGAATAATCTTCTCATCAACATTAATCTGGTTACGGATCGGATTTGTGTAGTTTGCGGTTTGGTTTTAACCCGTTCGCATTTATGCATCGCCCGTAGTGCGGTTTGTGCGGATAGGGTTCCGAATGTGTGCGATTGCGGGCAGTTTACGACTTGGACTTTTTTCTTTAAAAATTTATTTTTGAGTTTTTTTCCCCCCATTTTGTAAACATTTATTTTGGATATTTCCCCCTAATTTTCTAAAATGCTCTAACATTAATAATTAATGAATTAAATCTTCAATCATCATAATTCCTTTGACAAAAACAGATTCAATTTCAAATTCAATTAAATAGAATTAGAACTTTCCGGCAGTGTCCATCATTCAGGATTGATTTTGAATGGGTGATCACCCTCTTCATAAAACTTTAATGGCATGTTTGATTGGAAGGATTAAAGCATAGGATTGGGATTATTAATCCGTGGGCCCAATCATCCTATGTTTGTTTTGACATTTTAGTTTAGGATTATTAATCCAATGGATAATTAATCCAACAAATTTGTAGGATTATTAGTAATGGGGTAGGGGTGGGATAACTAATACCACACTAATTTAATAGGATTATTAATACCTCACTATTAGTGTTGTGAATCAAACATGACCTAAATGACTTAATGATGCAGGTTGGACTATGCTTGTTGGAGAAATTGGCCTAGAGTTTTGCTTAGTTTTCTGTAGTATCTTTGAAGACGAAGGAGTAGGCACTTTCCAAACAAAAATGCAACCATCACCAGCAACCTGAAGGAACCAAAAAATAAAAATAAAAATAAAAATTGGGCTTCATATATTCACACAAGTTTCTCCAGATGTTTCGAGAGATTAGGGCTTCTCAATTGGTTAGTATGTTTGGACAAAAATGTCTACATAGATGGAATAGATGAACCGTCCAGGTTCTTCCAAATAAATAAATAAATAAATGCGGGCGGTTGTGGCGGGTGCAGGTCAAACTCCTAACCTGCCGCAAATTGAAAAGTTGATATATTCCAAATCGCACCCGATCCTATTATTTTTGCAAAACCACCTATATGTGTGCGGGTCGGATTGAGTAGGGCGGATAGGACGGTCGAATAAGCCTATACCCAGCCCTATTAAAAAATGACGAGAGAAATGATGACAACTGATTAGACATCCTATCAAACAAGTAGCTGCCGCACCAAATCTTCATATACCACCAAATCTTGCTTTGTTTTCCTGGGTCCAGTAGATCCTGTGCAAAATAAGGGTGGGCAACGGTTTATCCGAACCGCTCAAACCGCCCAACCCACCCAACCCGCATATAAATGGGCGGTTTCGCAAACATAATGCGGGCGGATGCGGTTTGAAATATGACAAATTTGCGGGTTGCGGGCGGGTCGCGGTTTTGCGGGCGGGTCACGAATTCAAACCGCAACCCGCAAAAACCGCCCGCACTTTAATTAGTATTATTATTATTATTTTTTTATATACTAACTTTGTAACTTTAACAGGAGCACCATTATGTTCTTTATGACACTAAGATCCTTATTTTTAAGTATTTCTTAACTTTCTTAATGTCGTAGAATTATCAAGTTCTAAACTTGGTTTCTTATATGATTTTCATTGATGACTCATCCACTTTTTCCTAATAAAATTTTTCTTCTGGTGATCGATGAAGCTTCTAGTTTGATTATTGATTACTGAATTGACAATTCTAATTGAGTACAACCTTTAATGCATTGATATACATTTTTTTCATGACAAAAATGCTAGTGATATTCAATTTTTATTTGTAAACTCATCAGAAAATTGTTATCAAATGATCACAAATATATAAAATGAATCTAATGCCTAAATTCGATGGGAAAAAAAAACTTAAAAATTAATTTTTAAAGAAAAAAGTGTAAATCGCAAACCGCCCGCACATTTACAAATCCTATCCGCACAAACCGCAAACCGCACTGCGGGCGGTTGCGGGTTGACTTTTTCTTAAACCGCATAGATGCGGGCGGGTCAAAACCGAACCACAAACCGCACAAAACTGATCCGCGAACATCCCTAGTGCAAAATGATCCAGTAGATCATTTACCTCAGAAAAAAATGAAAATAAAAATAAAAATATTTTACAAAATTAAATTTTAGAAAGAGAGATTCATATAGTATGTACATATAGAAAAAAGTTAGCTAAAATATAAAAATAATTTTTTAATTATAATTTGACTCAAAATTTATTAAATTTGATGCGAACACTGTTACTTTAGAACTCGGATTACCTTAACCCGTATAAGCAAACCCTAGCAAATGAATGGACCATTTGATGCCCAGCAACCAAACATACCCCAAACAAACAGGCCCATACATACCACAATGCTCCAAATTCAACTTCCAACAGCTCTCCTCGTTTTGTGTTCACCTGCCTCCTTAGGCTCTTGCGGGGGATTCCATTTACACACACACACACAAAAAAAAAAAAAAAGAAAAAAAAAGAGAAAGATTTAGTATTTTTAATTTTTAAGTACATCTTATTAATTATTTAAAATTTTATTTTATTTCCATTACATCTTATTATTATTATTTTTTTAAATTACTCTCAACGTAAACTCAAATAGTAAATAATAAACAAATTAAAAAAATTATTTCAAAAGCTTTTCAATACAGAAAATAATTCTCAAATACAGAAAAAAAATCAAACTTATAAGCACATAAGCATTATAAATATAGAAGAAATCAAACTTTTACATAAGTTTATAAAGCTTCTCAATATCCAAAAAAAAAAAAAAAAAAAAAAAAAAATTCCATTATAAATTATCCACAAGAATGCTCATAGAAAAGTAAAAACTAAATTTATAAGCACATAAGCATTAGACACTAACAAGAAAGATTAGTTCTCAAATAATGTACAATTTAAATGACAAAATAAGAACAACTCGAATAATATGTTATTATTAATCTAACTACTGGATCCTTTAATTTTTGTCAAAAAAAGATATAGAAAATAATTGATGGTGCTCTAACAAAATTGTGAAACCCTTTTATATGAATACTTATATCGTTTTTGATGGATTGCTTCAAAAAAATTATTTTGATTATTACTCTCATTCGTTATTTGATTTTGTTCAAACTTTCTTCTAGAGTTTAGGGTTTCAAAATAATAATAAAAAAATGATGTTGATGATGATGGTGAGTTTTGGTAGGGTGGATTGGAATTTTGGAGGGAGGATGAAGAAGAAGAAGAAGAAGAAGAAGAAGAAGAAGAAGAAGAAGAAATAACTTTGATCTCTTAAGGAAGAAGATATAGAGATTTAAATATGAATAACTGATTAGGGTGTACTATAAGAAAAAAAAATTATTTTAGAATTTAATATATGTTGTTCTTATTAGTAAATTCACATTAAAATATAATAAGAATT